CTGACAAAAAGCAATAAACCACTGATAGAGTTTCTAACCCTTCAATCTGTAGGGTTATTTTTCCATATACTTTAGGGATTCAAAAAACATAATGGTAGTCTCAAATCAGAAATTTGCTGGAGTAAACTACTGGGGAGTAAAGAAATGAATGCACAGGAAAAATTTCTGGCTGCAACCAGGCAAATGATGGTTGCAAAAAGCAATGAACAAAGGTTTATGCCCCACCAAAAAAAGGTGCTTTGGTAACGCTGACATGAACTCTATGGAATTGCATGAAGTGCTGAAGACAGGTCCACTTTAAAACCCCTGAAAGATCCTTTTTAGAAGTCTGTACATCTCTTAGAACCAATCTCGAAATATTTTTGATAGATCCTAGCAAAACATATTATAAAACAGTTCAGCACATCCAGAACAAAATGTGGTCAAAATACACCACATTACATTCAATTCCTTGAAAACTAGTTATACAGATTTCATATGGAGGAGAAAAAAATAGCTTTTCACAAACTACGGAGAATGATGCCTGAGGTAAAAGATTTCATCAGGAAAGATAGTGCTTTGGATAGATCACATTTCTTAGAGTCAATCTCTGGTATTGTTTCAAAGTGCATTGCTCTCTGAATTACTGACATAAAAACATCTGCCTTTGTGGCAGGAATGAGATTGCTTCTATACTATGCTGGAGATTTTCAAACTGTGAATGTGCTTATGCATCAAGGCAATGTAAATGTAAGATGAGCCTTTCATGGCACAAAGTCATTCTTTTTTTAATGTATAGCTGTTCTCAACACAATGAGCGTCATCAAAAAAGAGAAAGCATCTATGTTTTGCATATAATATAAAATGGGCTTTTATTTGAGGTTAAAGCAACACTGCCGTCCCATCTAGAGACTCCCCAAAGCTGCTCCCTGCAATAGAAGAGGTGTTATATTCCCCTTTTTGGAGGCCCCTGTCTCTCATCTCCACTCCGTAGAAGCACTGCAGACACCAGACTCACAGAAAAAAGTCAGGTCGCAAACCACACTGCTGATACTGGAGTAAGACGGGTTTGGCCGGTGTGCACCCGCCATTCTCTCTGGTGCTGCTGTGAAGGAGCGGTGATATTGGGCTATGGAAGTTAGACACCAGACTTGTTAGAATTCAACGTTTCTTCTATGCCTGTTACTTCCACAGTGCGCTGTGGTTCCACCCTATGTCACTGCTCTTTCCTATAGAGACGTTGGGGCAGAAGGATGGAATAATGCAGGGGGCTGGACAGGAGTGTGAGATTTCTGGTCCCTCGCCAAGAGCTGTGGTTCCATCCTACATCACTAATGTGCCCTGCAGTGACGTAGAGACCAGAGGAATGAAACTCTTACTGGGGACCCAGAGTGTCAGATGAAGAGGATTCTCCAGGCATCGTTACTCTTAAGGACCTTTTTTCCCAGTAATAAATTCTGTAACGGACCCCTAACCTTTAAAGCAATATCTACAATGCAATACCTACACCAACAAAGCAATCCACAACCCTGCCCTGGCTACATCTCCAACCTCATCACAAAATATCACCCAAACTGTCTTCTCTGCTCCTCCAAGGACCTCCTGCTCGCTAGCTCTTTCTTTACCACCTCTCATGCTCACCTCCAGAACTTCTGCAGGGTCTCTCCTATCCTCTGGAACTCTCTACCACAACCTATCCGGCTATCTCCTAATCTTTCATTCCTTACGACAATCTCTGAAAACTCACCTCTTTAAGGAAGCCTATCATCTCCTCTTAAAAACCGTACATCTCCTTGAGGCAGCTCATCTCTCACAGTTGTTACCTCCTGTATCACTTGCCCTTCCTTGTAGAATGTAAACTCTGGTGAACAGCGTCCTTCTGATCCTTTTGTATGGTTTTTATTGTAACTGTACTGTCTCCCCAGATGTTGTAAAGTGCTGCGCAAACTGTTGGCACTATATAAATCCTGAATATTAATAATAATAATAATAATAATGTGTCAAATTGACCAAAATCACTGACAGCAATTATTGTGTCACCCCCTCTGAAACACCCTGGGTGTTGGAATACCTAAAAATTCCAACACCCAGCGGTGTCACCAGACGTGCAATGACATCACGTGCACTTCACTGCCGATGGCCATCTTGGTGGTGGATGCTGGCAAAGAGAGGAGGGGACGTTCATCCAGTGAGATAAGGTATGCAGTATAAGGTACCCTCCTCTCTTATGCAGCTGTCGGGCTCTTGGTCCATGACCGGGTGCCCGACCTTTCAGAGGGGGCAACACCATATTTACGGTCAGTTATTTTGGTGCCACCTCCTCTGATGGTGTCACCTGTTGCAGGCTGCACCCCCACACCCCCCTGGTAACACCACTGCTAACACTCAAACTACTGCACAAAAAACAACCAATCCCAGAACCTCCTGTATGGCAAGCTGTGTATACACTGCAAGGGAAATGCATAATATAATCATTAATCATTTTTTTTTTTTTTTTGCCTGTGCCCATGTTAGGACTTTATACATGTAATGCAGTTTCAACTGCTCGAAGGGAATTTTATCATGGAATGTCTACTGTAAAGGCAATGTGTAATGTTTGGCATATATTCCTTTATCTATCATGCTCAAAACTTTAAAAAAATCTTTATATCTTTAGAAACGTCCCTTTAGTTTAGTAAATCGGAAATATTGCATACAATATTTTCTTGAACCATATTTACTGTTATGCTGTGAATAGTTGTATTGTCTCTGTTGTGTATTGATGTGAGCAGGAGGTCATATTATACACACAGAAAGCACAGCATGCTCTGCAAATATGTTATAATTTACCTTAAGAGTAATATTTTCAGATTACTGCATGATGTTAATAATGAATACTGCGGCATTCTTATACTTTAAGCACATTTATACATTTTCATGACAGTACTCCTTGCTGGTGGGGTGCTGGGAAATTTACACACTAATTCTAACTTTGCACATTCTCTTTCATAAAGCTGCCCATACACCTTACAACCATCGCACGACTTTCGTGGTGCGATGGTTGTAAGGTGATTACAATTTCGTACGACCTGCCCATTATGGACAGGCAGATCGTACTTGCGATCATCGCAAGTCCTCCCCACTGAGGGGAGGGCTTGCAGATGATTGCAATTGTGAGCGGGCAGTGTGCACCTTGTGTCATGCGGCTTTCATCTTACGATCGCGCTACCAACCCTAGTACGGTTTTCTAGCGTGCTCGTTATACGAAAATCGTACGACCGTACAGTAAATGCGGTTGCACACTATCCATCAACCTTACGATTATCGCACGATGGCGGGATCACCCGCAATTATCATATGATAATCGTCAGGTGTATGGGCAGCTTAAAACTAAGGCTAGGTTCACACCTGCACACGCGTCCTGGGATCGTGCGGCCCTGCACAATGCAGACAGCGATTCTGTGATCGCATAAAAAAGGTATAAGTACCTTCTTTTTGCGATACACGACGCACGGCTGTTTTAGGAATTGTGCGCGATTGCCGCGCGGTGAGGTGTCGCCTAGGTGTGAACCTAGCCTTAACCTCCATTAGCTTGCACCCTTTGTGGTGCCATTGAATTCAGTGGGATGATATTTCAATGCCATTGTTAGAAAGGTGGAAATGTGACAAAGTACAAATAAACAGAACAGGACTTTTATAGCGGCTGGTCACCTCAGTGGAAAAATAATGTACAGTGTTTTCACAGTTAAAGGAGAACTATGGGGTTAAGGCTTTTCCCCATAGTTCTCCTTAGGGTAACGGAAGGAAACAAAATATTTGTTTATCCTCCATCAAAAATAATTGGATTGGGGGCGTGTCCTGGCCATGGTGGAGTGAGCACGCGTCTTCTCCCTGCTCTCCCGATCCGCTCCAATACCGGGACATTATACAGCACCTACGGACCCCAAAAATGAATAGGACGAGGCAGAAGAAGGCCCCGGACACCCCTGGACCTCAGGCACCGGGTAAACTAAAAAACTTTTTCTCCCCGAACGCTCCGGTGACCGCGGGGGTAGGCCCCGGAAAAGCCGCGGCCTCGAGTAAAGGCGCGCAGCCACCAGTACACACACCCGAGTTCCCGTCCAGTCCCGGGCTCTCTCCTCCGTCTTCCCCAGCCCAGGGGCCCACAGAAGACTGCCCAGGGTCCTCCCTGTCAAGTGGGCAGAAGGGAGACACGAGACCCGGCACTCCAGGACCATACAGGCCCCAAACAGACCTGGATATAGGGGCCATCTTGAGCCTATTGCCCACTAAGGCAGATATTGAGGCAATGGTGGCGAAAATAGAAGAAGCCCACAGCCGGGACATACAGTGTCTGAGCCAAGACGTCTCAGACCTGACCACGAGGGTGGAGGGGAATGAAACAGGCGCGGCGGCCATAGAAGGGAGATTGAAAGCCTTAGAGGAGTCGAGAGAAGAACAAGCAGGCATAATATCAGATATGCAGCTGCATATTGAGGATCTTGAGGACAGAAGCAGGCGTAACAATCTGAGAGTCCGAGGCGTGCCTGAGGCTACAGGACAAGAAAACGTTCATGATACTGTTGTGGCCATCTTTAACATGCTGCTGGGCCATCCACCCACTACGGGGATTGAATTAGATCGTGAACTAATGCTAGGGTCCAAAGCCTATTATGTCCTATTATTGTTGTTAATGTTGTATTTGTTACTTAAATGGAAAAGTTACGAAATCCATGCATATGCGATCAGACATGTTATTAGCACTGCCTAATGAGAGCCTTGATTTGTATTCTTGACAAATTGTGTGCACTGTCACTGTATGGATGCTCGTGTTCTTACAAAATAAAGAATTATTTAAAAAAAAAAATTGGATTAAGAATGAATTTTCTGCTTTATTCAATTTAGATTTGTCATGTATCAAGTCTGCTACTATTATTATTACTATTAAAGTCCAGGCAGATATAAAAGACACAAATGAATGCAGCTCTGTATACATTGATCCATAATTAAATGTATTTTTTAAATGCAAGCAGTGTAAGTACCTGATTTTGACTTCATATCAGCTTCTTGCAGTCACCTGTACAGCAGAACTCACGCTGGGAGAGGGAGAAACAAAACAAGGAGCCAGTAAGTCAGGCTGCAATGATCATGTGCTAACAAGGAACATATTGATAGCAGGAGAGAGCAGAGTGACAGATAAATTAGCTCATTAGTCTGCTGCTTCTCCTTTGACTGTCCAGTTACAAGCTGGGGGAGGGATAAGACGTGTAAGTGTAACTCCGAGCTCTCACCCACAGTCCGCACCCACAGCTGCTTAAAAAACAATTCTATACATTCCTCTTATTACCCGGTTTCAATGATGACACAAATTCTCTTTGCTCTCTTCTTCCTCTTTGCTCTCTTCTTCTTCAGGTGCTGCCTGGTTTGTAAATGGTGCAGAGAGTGGCACCTCTACACTTGTGAGTCCAGGGTGAGGACGGAGCCTTGATGTTCTGGGCTCAGACCACTGAGCCTGTGGCCGAAACACGTGAGATCCAATGAGAATAGTAGCTACAGCAGCTTTTTTACTTTAAGGAGCTGTGGGAGATGCAATTAACATGTTTTTGCCTGAACTGGAATTGGTCATTCACTGCAGCAGAGAAAAATCTGATTTTCTGCCCTGCCAGACAGGGATGTGATTTGTGAAAATCTGAGGACTGAAAGGACAAAAATACAAATCCTTTGGCAGATAAAACAGCTCCCCCATATGTAGATTTAGGCTAATCTAAGCATTTGCTTACCTTTCAAATTATCCAATTTAAATCTGTATAATTAGACCCTATCAACATATACAATTATTTAAAAT